CGAGGAGTCGAGCGGGGATAGTAATTAAGCGGGAAGCATGATCTCAAATAACTTGTATCCGGCCGTCGAGAGACGACGATAGAGAGAGAGAGAGAGAGAGAGAGAGAGAGAGAGAGAGAGAGAGAGAGAGAGAGAGAGAGAGAGAGAGAGAGAGAGAGAGAGAGAGAATCGAGGGAGGCCAATCAAACGGCGGAACGTATCCACGCGGGCCCGCTGCCAATCGTCCGTACATAATTGGATATAGAATCGTGCGGCCTTTGCTCGCATACGACGCCGTATAGTCCCCCTCCCCCTCCCTCCAGGGCGACGTGCCCTCGTCCCGGGTTAGGAATGTAATTAGTCAGAGAAGCACCGGCACACAATCTTGGCCGGCGATCGGTAGGTCCCCTTCGTTACCGGTGCGCGATGCCCCCCGAGATTGCCGGCGTCCGAGATGGAGCGATTACCAGTCGTAAATACGCGCGCGATAATTAAAATTACTGACTGATTGCCTCGTCGGGCTTTGCTTAGCGAGAGTCCGGGGCCGGTCCCGGCAGCTGCACCGGGATCTCGCCTAGGATCCGTCTCCAAAGTACCGTGAAGACGTTAATAACGTGTAGCGGGCAAATCCTTGCGCGAATTCTGGAGTTCGCTCGAAACCTCCGCGACTTTTGGCCTCTGAGAGCTCCTCTCCTCGCTCGTGATAGCCGACGCCTCGTCTTGAAATTTGCAAAATAAACCTTGCCGCCTTCGTCGCACTTTTCTCCGCTCTCCGCGTTTCTTCGCGCGAATTCTGGATTGTCGGGACTTTTGGACTCTGAGAGCTCCTCTTCTCGCGAGTCGCGAGTGACAACCGACGAGTGAAATCATCTTGAAATTTGCAAGATAGGCCTCGGCTCAATTCGCCACACTTTTTGTTCCTCTACTCTCCTACGAAATGTTCGCAGTCGCTTCGATTGGGGTCTCGCTCGGGGAAGAAGTTTAGAGGGCACATAGGCACCTTATACTTTTGCATGAGAGCGCGCGACTATAGTCGACGGCGGTCCGACCACGTGAAAGAGTTCATATACCAGATGGCACGCGGCGCCCGCGGAGAAAAATCCGAGGAATGGCGCTCGGGTCAACTCGCGCGCGGCTACGGAACCTGCGATAAACAGCAGGGAGTCGCACGGGATTACGTTGAACATTGGTTCGCGAGGCATCGCCGGCTGTATAGCGATTCCGGTGTCGCTGTCCGTACCGTGCGCACGCTCCCTCGTAACAATAAGAGCGGGTTCACGGGCGACCTCAGAATTCTCGCGTCCCGGGTCGCTCCCGGTGGCTCCTCTCTCTCTCTCTCTCTCTCTCTCTCTCTCTCTCTTTTTCTCCTTGTCTCTCCCCCGTGACTCCGCAACACGATGTTGTGTTATTCAAATGGCCCCGAAAGAGAGAAGTAAAGAATAGCTGTGCCTTCTTGTAAAAGCGGCCCGATACTATCTCGGGCTACCCGTATCGCGCGTGTATATCAAATGCGTCTGTGTGAGCTCCCGTCTCTTCTCCTCCCTTTATTCCCGCGCTGCTTCCTCCCCTTCTTTTCGCTACCTGTCTCGCGGTAACTCATCGGCCGGACGATATCGTAGCGCTTCTTAGCGCCGCCGTCGTCGAAGCGACAGCTCCTCGCCGTAATTATATTCGCCGACGATTTTAATCGTGCCGGCGCGGCGCGGCGTAATGAAAACAGCGCGGCGCTACGCGGATGAATTAATTATCGCGCAAAGTGCCGCGCGGCGCGCGCTGCACGGATTAGCGCGACGGTGATTTCATTGGCCGTGATTATTACGCGCCGGTTATTTATGGATAGTTTAATAGCCGTCGCGAGCCGTTGAGATTATTATATCGCGGTGCGACAAATTAATTATTAACCGCGCACACACGCGCCGGTCGGGACAGAGCGCCGCGGGACAGCTTGTGTCGGAAGTGCAGCGCGTGCGGACGCGGCGTAAAATTACGCTGGACATTCGTTCCGACAGCTTCTCCCGCGAGAGAGCTTTCCTCTCTCGCGGAAAGAGATCGGCCGCGGCGGAGCGTCGTGATCGGGCCGTGACCCGCGAAGCGCGGAGATTATCGGCGGCGCAATTTCTGCGTCATTGGGCAGCGGTAGGCCCGGCCAGCAACACCGCCGTCTTATTATTCGCCGCAGCCGTGCGAAATTATAGATCCTCAAACGGAGCGGCGGAGCCGATTACACCGGCCGCGTTGGGCGTAGTAGGTATGCCACGTACGTGCACGTAACGGTAACGCCGCGCCGCGCCGCGCCGATCGCCTTGTCAGCTGACCTTACGGACGTATCGCGCGCACGTGAGCGCGTGCGGCGGGCGCATCCGTGCTTCTGCTGCCGCTGTTGGTAGTGGTGTTGCTGATACCGGTGCTGGTGCTGGTGGCCTCTGCTGCCATCCGCGATCCTCCACCACGCCCAGACCGAGCGGAAAGGAGCACACCGCTGTGCTCCAGCGGCGTGTCCGATAGCGCACCAAGCCGAGATGAACGTCGAGAGATAGCTGAGGTCAACGTCGCAGGCGTCTACGGGCGTAGAACTTTTCGCGGTACACACGAGAGTACACGTCTCGGATCTGTCAAAGTGAGCAGCCGGTTGCACCAGCGAGTCGCTCTTTGTCGCCTCGACTTTGTCGTCGACCGCGCGATAACCGCAGATAACGATGTAAAACGATGTATAGGTCGTGGATGCAAAATGCGAGCGACCATCAAACCCCATAAAAATCCAATAAAGTCGCGGATCGCGAAGTAACGACGCGCCGCGCCTTGTGGTCGTTGACCAACCGCCCGCAATCCTCGGGATTTCACGCTGAACCGTCACGGCAGAAGCGCGCTACATTTTACAAGCGAGCGCTATCAGCGCGACGGGTTTCGCGACGAGAGCCACCTTCCGCGCGTCCAGTTAAGTCAATTAAGCGCGCGACTAATTCGCATCGCGAGATTCGCCTCGCGATAAGCCTCGCTCCTTCAGCGCGCGCGGCGCGGCACGTCGCCGCGAGACGTTTCGCGAGCCTCGCGCAAAAAGCGCGCGACGCTTTTATCGCGGTGATGCGTCGCGCACGCACGCGTGCAGCCCGAGCCTCTCCGTAGCTTCTCCGGCGATGCCGTTCGCCGCGGCTCGTGCACCACGCCTCTCTCGCCAGGGTACTAGCGGCGCACGATTCTACGGTCCTATACCGGTATCGAGATAGTATCGGCCGGCATGGATCGCGCTCGGGCCGCCTAGGAGTCCGGCTTTAATAGCCTGCGGCCACGGCAATCGGCCAGAAATCGCTCGTATCTCAGCTCGTTGTGTTTTCGCACCGCTCGGCCACACACACACACACACACACACACACGTGCGCAGGCGAGTATTTGTATGTAGAACGCTGGTGTGTCTCACACTCGCGGCGGCGGCCGCGGTAGCGTGTGCGAGAAAACGTTTCCTGGAGCGAAGTTTCCAGGTCAGCGGGAAAAGACCAATCGGAAGCAGATATCTTTCCCGGCGCTGTTCTCGCGTGCTTTTTATCATCGTGTCGCGAGCGACGACGATGCACCGTTCGACGACGACGATGATGCGACGGTTTGACCGGTACGAGGCGGTGAATCGCACGGACGACGCGAACGTTCCTCGCGGTCGTTCTTTTCTCGCGTGTAATCGCGCTTTCTGCCGATTCATAATTGCAGGCTGGATGCACGCGATTGTGAATCGTTATCGAGTCATTCGCGTGCGACGCGCCTCCTCGCGAGTCTCTCTGTACGCGGCGGGATTTGCAGTCGATTTGCTGATGCTTGTTCTCGTTTGCTGTGTTTCGATCGCGGTATATTTTTATGTACATGAAGCGCGGGTGAAGCAAACAAAGCTTCACCCGTAGGCCAAATCTCATTACACTGAGAGAAAAGTATATATTTGGAACTGTAATGATATAGTAACTAAATTATAGTCCGAGATATTATGTTTATAGTAAGTGTTACTATATAATGTCGGTAATAATTACGATATAGGCATAGTATAACCAACCATATAATATTTTTACTAAAAATTATAGTTAGTTAAACTAAAATTATTGTATGGATGCAAATATAAAATGGTAGGTAAAAGTAACTCTTTTATATAGTCAATATTACCAGAATATTTGCTAAATGATGTGAACTATATGAATATTAAATCTCACTATATTTGTGGATGAGAAATTACCATATATGCGGTAAAAGTAACTGAACAATTATTTAAGAACAATCATTGACTATATATTTGTGTTTATTCTATTGTATTTTGCAGGTTTCCACCAAGTATAAAAATATGCTTGACACGCCGAAATGAACCATAAAATATAGTGAGATTATAGTTAATTCAACTATATTTTTCTATCAGTGTTGTCCTTCTTATCCTTATTTCCCCATATCTTGCCTGCATATATAACACAATTATATGTCAAGCTGTCGGAAAAAGTGACAGATTAATCGAATAATCAACGCAATTCGCACGCGTACTCGTACACGACGTTAACGATTAGAACAAATAATTAGTTTTAGTTCAACGGGCGCGAAAAAGGTTCTATCGAACGCTTACTGTTCAGTCGATCGGCGTGGCTCAAAATCGGTCGCAATTCCAGCTAATTTCGCGAACGTTTCGAGGAGAAAGTCCCGAGTCGCGCGCGTCGTGTCGTGACGCGACACACACAAGGCGGGTTCGCCGAAATCACTAACGACCTCGGCGTAATTTGTTCGGCCAAAGTGGCGTGACACCCCACGATACGCCTCGAAATATAATCCATCCCAATCCCTAATTCTCATCGAGCGAGTCATTCATCCTTAATCGGTCAACGACGATCGCCGGAGCGCGGCCGGTCTGGCCTCCACGCCGACGACGACGACGATCGATCGATCGATCGATCAGCCGATCCGATCTCGGCTCGATGTATCGTGTAATTATAACGGCGACTTCAAGTCGACCGCTCTGTCGGAAAGCCTCCGCTAATGTCGCTTCTCTTTTCCGTGTGTTTCAGCAAAAGGTGAAGTTCTGGTTCGCCACGGGCGGCGCTGGATTCTGCATCAGCCGGGCGTTGGCACTGAAAATGACTCCGGTCGCCGGGTGAGTTTTTACCTCGCATTATGTATTCTCATTTGTTACTTAGTAATGACAATGACAACGGTAATGACACGGCTGATGATGACGTTAATGGAACTTCGCGGAGACGGACCTTTGCTATTCTAGCGACAGAATTTTCCGATAATACGTATTGCATATTAATAACATTGATAATACCCATGATAATTGCTATACATAGTGCAATGTCATTAATTATTAAATATCATGCTAATAATTATTAGGATTGATTAACTTGGACGAGTTATATCGTACGTATATATCGTCATTACATTTACACGACATACAGTATCCAATTGCGTTAATATCACCTCTTTCGCTCGCTTTCGGCACATTAACTCGACATCGATCGCGATATAAGATCGCGTCGATGAAGCTTCCGTGGAATCGGTTCATCTGCATTTTCTCGATTTTCCGTCTGCGGCGGCGAGTCTCCTCGCAGAAATCCTCATCAGCGAACACGCTCGGTCACGCGTGACGCGTGTGACAGTTAGGGTTGCCAAATTCAAAAGTTAAAATTACCGGACATTTCTTCTTTGGTAACAAACCCAAACCGGACTAAACCGGACAGAAATAATAATCATGACATTTACATTAAACATATACAAAATATGACAAGAATTTATTTACAATATTAATTCCCAAACCAGATTTTATAAACCTAGATTTGACTGAATAAAATAATAAATTATTACTTTTTTAATATATAAGGAATGATGGATCGGCGGATCATCTACTAGATGACTTTTCGCGTGGCGCTTGAAACGGAGAAACGTTGCTAGAATCTGAACTCTCATTCCATTGATTGGATATAACTTAAAAACCGGACATGTGACATCCGGTTTGACTTATTAACCGGACACTGGACAAGACTTTTGAAAACCTGACAATCGGGGGTCAAAACCGAGCAGTTGGCAATCCTAGCGACAGCGCGTCAGTAGCGCGCCTCGTCGTGGTGGTTCTTTCAAGGTTTAATCTAACATGAAAACGCGTATTAACGATCTCCGGTTCTCTCTCTCTCTCTCTCTCTCTCGAGCTCTACCTCCGCGTCTTTTTCTCCGCGCGGCTGTCCGTCCGTTTCTACCTGCGACGGATCAAATAGCGCCGTCGGCCTTGCCCAGTCACGCTTACGACGACCGATCGGCGCTCTATCTGTTTGTTACGCATCGGCTGATTCGGTGATCACGCCTGTACAATTACGCATTTCCCTTGTTCCCTTGGCATACGAAATGAAAGTCGCGCGAAACGGGCGAATTCCGCGGCAGCGCCGGGCGCTGGAGCGTGGAAACGCGCGGCGGCGGCGGCGGCGATAAAAAAAATGGCCGGTCGTTACGGCGATCGTAACGACGGACAATTACGGACGGCTATTATCGACGTCGCCCTCGGTAAACGCGTCCCGATAGGCACGCCGCCGGTTGGCACGTATGACGGTTTATAAACCGCGCGAGCGCGTGATCATCGAGATGATCGCCGGTGGAAGGTCGAAAGCTTCGACGCGCACTCGCACCGCTCGTAAATCACCGTTTATGGCGCACAGTGGCCAATTGTTTATCCTCGCTCCTCGATAACGTCATCGTCAAGCGGCACGAACCGCGCGCGGCGCCGGCTATGGCCGGCCGTTTGTTGTTATTAACGATGTAAAAATCTACGAGAGGGTCGGCCATGCGCGGCGATGCGCGCGATCCAGTTTTTCGCGACGCGCGAGAGCGGCCGCGGTGATCGCCGATAATCAATCCCGAGCTCAAATCTCGTGCGCCCGCCTTCGAGTGTGCCCCTTCGTAAAACCTCCTCCTCGCTCGATCTTCGTCGATTCGATCGATTTATACATCAGCCGTGAAGGAATCTCATACGATCCTCTCCTGCTTTCTCTCTCCTGCTCCTCCGCCTCTCAAAAACAGAGCAAGCAAGGGGCTCGAGCTTGAGCGCATCGCCGTCTACTCCAAATTGCGATTAATAAAAAAAGAAATTGCAAGTATAAATTGTAAAGAGGTGAAAATTGAGAAGAAAGAACAGTAAAAGAGAGTATAAATTGCGCATTAATTTTATGCTTCGTCGTGCAAATTTTAGATTTCCCTCTCTTTCCGCCGCGTTACGTATATCCTATACGAGGCTCATTCCGGGACAGACATATGCGCTGTTCATTCTCTCCTGTTTCCTCCTCCGTGTCCTCGTCCTCGACCTCCTTATACGGATTCGGAGACAGAACGGTCGAGGTTGGCAAAAAGCCCAGCACCTGGGAGGGCCCGCGAATCGGTCGTATCTCCGTCCCCTCGTAGTCTCTTCCGCTCTGCCCTCGCGCTCTTCCGTCCATTTCGCGGTGTACACGGTCCCGGCATTATCCTGCCTCTAGTACGCTCGTTCGTTTCGTGTGTTGCGACACGAGAAACACGGCTGCATCGTAAGAACAGGCGAGGCGAGTGCATCGAACAGCTTTCTCATTCGGATGAGCGACCGACGACGACGACGACGACGTGACTCTCCGCAGACTCGACGCAGTTCTGTTATTTCGCCGGACGTAATCCGGCGGCATTACAATTCATCGTCGCTGCAAATCACCGCAAATTTATCGCGACGATGACGACGAGCGTTTTGCTATTCATTCTTATTTTCCCGGCAGCCGGCGTCTTCTGCCGCGCGCGCATCTGTCGGCGGAATCGGCGCGGCAGGAGAAACGCGATGCTTTTCCACCGCGGTTTCTTCTCCGCGTTTCGAGTTTGCTCGCGGTTTGCGGCGGCTCGCGAGATAAGCGATAAAACCCGCGGCCGCTGCAGCGGGGCGTGCGAATTATTCCGCGGAATTCTCGTGCATTTTTCCGCGAGAACGCCCGCGCGCTCTCGCGCGTCGCGCGAGCTGTAAAGTCGGGTGAATTTAATGGCCGTCGCGCAGACGTCGCACGCTCCGCTTGGTGTCGCGCGCTTTGCATTACTTTGATATTATTTCAGACGCCGTCAGGGAGCGATTCCGCCGCGCGACAGTAAGTACGCGCTCGGGAGCGTAATCCCGCTTGTCTTCCTGCCCAGGCGGGAACGTCGGGACGATTACGCGTTCCCGCGTTTTAATTTATTCCGCTCCGAGATTCGCGCCGTGCTTTTTCCGCGCTTAAGCGAATAATACGGGCATCATCGCGCGCGCCGGCACTTTTCATCTCGCGAGCGGAGCATTCCTCCACTTCGCCCGCCGAAAGAGAGAAAAAACGCGCGCTCCTCTCGCCGCCGTCGCCGGCTACTCGCGATTTTATTTCGTCGCGCGAGCAGGCCAAAGAGGAAAACTCGCCTGGTCGCTCTTGGCTGCCGCAGCTCTCTCTCTCTCTCTCTCTCTCCTGTCTTTCCGCCAGTCAGCTAAGAACGCACGACGCAATTGTCTTCGCGTTTCCATTCTTTCCCGGCCTTATCCTCCTCTCGCTGATGGCGCGCTTTTAGCACGTTGATTGCAGAAAAGCTTCGCCGATCGTTGAAAGTCGCCGAGGGTGTACGGCGAACGCGATACAAATCGAGACGCGCGCGCGCGGATCTTTCATCCGTTCTCCGGCCGCGGCGTCTGAGCCATAAGGAAACGCGAGTAGATTTTTCAAGTGCCGTTATGGTCCAATTTTGACGCATAATTTGCGGCACTCGACGTTGTCGAGTCCCGGCCAGGCGAGCCGAGCAGATCGCCCGCTCGCCGTCGGAAACCGCTTTTCTCATTTCCAAGCTCCGCGAGCGTCTCGGCGCTCCGTTAATGCGCTGTAACTCGCGCGCGTCGAGGCTTTCTAAAGTATTTAATCTCGCCGCGCGCGCGCGGAAGTTGCCTCCTATTTTACGAGTCGCCGGACTGTGAAGAGGCAGTTCTACGGTACTCGCGCGCGCGCGCGCGCGCGAGAGAGAGAGAGCCCGGCCTTTTAATCATTTTCAACTCGTCTATTTCACCCTCCCCCGCGCTCCCTCCGCGCGCTCTGATCGCGCTGGATATTTTTCGGAGATCGGTCCGGGCGCGCGATGAGCTGCGTTCTTCGCGCAAGCCATTATCGCGGTCTAGTCGAGCAGCGTGCTATCCGATTTCAGCGGGTTCTCACGTTCCCCGTAAGACTCAGCCGAGCTCCCGGCGCGGCGGACGTTCCGCTCGTTGCTCGCGAATTGTCATACGCTCGTATCCGCTCCGTCAGCCCTCGCGTTATCGTTCCGCCGGCGTCACGGCAACGAGACACCGTAAACACCGTAAACACCGTAAACGGGGCGCGCGAGAAGTCGCCGTGGAAATTGCGATCCGAGCGATGCTCGGGACTATCGGCGAATCGTCATATCCATCCATCTCGGGGCGCGGACGTGTTCGTTTTCTCCGCGCGGACAAACAAGAGGGTTCTCGCCGCAGCGCCGCTTCACGCGAGAACCAGCCTCGTTTGCGCGAGCGCGTGCGCTCGCTCTCCAAAAGGAAATATCGAGCGGAATCGGGCTTGGTAATCCAATCTATATCGGGGTAATTTGCTGAAACGGTACGTTGGCGCGGAATATTTGCAGGCGGAAATCGGCCGACTCGTTTATCGATTTGCATTGGCGCGCACCGCAGCGCTGCGCGCGCGCCAAGTAAACTTTCTCGTTGCGCGATAAATATAGTAAGTCTCCCCGCTTGACTTTTCGAACGATCGGTCCCCGCGACGGAATCTGCAGCCCGCCCGAAAGAATCGAGCGTGGCTGCACGGTAAACGTTAAGCGACGTTTCATTCCCATCTTCTGATTTGACTTGAGTTTAACCGGTCGCTCGTTACTTTCTCGATAACGACGTCCGAGTCGCGCGCTACTTTCCTCCGGCGCGATCCGACGCCGGATGAGTTCAATCTTTTCGACGCTCACGGCCGGGAATTCGAGGTGCACTCGCGAGTCGCGGCGTCTCCAGTTAGCGTAAGGACCACCACCTGCGTATTCCTGCGACCTGTCGAATGTTGGAACTCATCGCGACATGATTACTCGGGACATTCGATCGTACGGTCGCTTAAGCCCGTGTCACACTAC